CAACTCCGTAAAAGATTGCAACAGAGATGAGATTTCTTCTTTCCCCGCCAGAGAGAAAAGTGATCATGCACCCCCTCCCTCCACAGTATTCTTTCGTGTCTCAGTAGAGGTCAATGACGTAAGCCGAGGAACTGTTAAGGTACAGTTAAATGAGCTCACCAAGAACAACAAAGATTTTCCCAGAGGATGAACTCATTTTCGAAATCTCAGAGGATCAAACAGAGACAGACATTCCAATACAATATATTTGAGAAGCAAAGAAATATTACCCAGGGAACCCATGTTCTAACGAATTGGCAACCATTCAAAAACACTGAAGGCAGTTTGCGTGTTACTCATTAGCAAGTCAGTCATAGATTTAGTCTACAATTGAGTCTACGACGGTTATTTTCACCACACGGAAAAACGATGGCTATGCAAATCATGACTATTGCGATACTTTTGGCCGTTTTTCTTAGTCTGCAATTAGCACACATCGATTCACTGGATACTGAGGTTTGTATTCAAGGCACATACCACAAGAAAACACCGTCCAAAGAGACTGCAGATTTCAAAGCGTGTCACGCATGGAAAGACAAGTCATGCTGCACAGCTAATCTCACTGTTGAAATCTCGCGACATCGGGTGAAAAATCTGTGGAACTTCCATTGGGACCATTGCTCAAATCTTAGTCAGGTAATTCTATACTTTGTAGTATGTATGGGTCGATATAATATAACAGGTATAAAGATCCAGTTTCCTGGATCAATATAGGATGAAACAGATCCACGTTGCATTCGTCTTGCATTTCAATATTGGGCGGGTTCCTGCGCTTTATTCAAAAAGTTGGATGTGTCTACCATGTGAAATATATAGGAAAACTTTTCTTAACCATTATCTATCGCTTATGTTTACATACTTTGAGCTAAATAAACCTGAAATATTTTACAAACGTGCAAGACATATATGTAGTTTTAGCATAGGCCGCCCAACTAATGTATTAGAGACAGAAAAGAACGAATGCGTACGCTTTTATTATGTATATATATCGGCGCGCGCTCTTAGCAAAAATGCGGATTACCTGTGGTGCTACGTCACGATCGCGCGCCTCGCGGGTATACTATAATCTTCACAGATTAGTATGTAGTCGCGAGGCGCGAGATAGTGACGTAACACCACAGGTAACCCGCATTTTTGCTAAGAGAGCGCGCCGATACATATACATAATAAATCCATAATAAAAGCGTACGCATTCGTTCTTTTCTGTCTCTAATGTATTAGTTGGGCGGCCTATGGTTTTAGCAGTTGCGTCGTGAACTCATTTAGTTTTCAGTGGCTGTTGCTCAAAGCCGAAAGACCTGCGTATCAATCGACTGCAGTATATTTCAAATTCAGATAGCATATACGCTGTTTTGCAAAAATGTTGACATAGCCACTGAGTACTTTGAACTTTCAAAAGAACTTAAAAAGTATATTTATTACAACAGACAAAGGAAGATCATTCAAGCTGAACGCTTTCTCTAGTATTCTTATTATTCCTGTCATAGTGTCAATTTACTTAAACACGTACTCGCATTTTGCAGAGGTGTCTTTCATAGTCGCGCGTACTTGCCAGAAAAACGGGCATGCTACGCCCCCGTACCCTAAATTACAAAAATTACATTCTGGGTGCGAACTAAAACGTTTAACCTGAGTAAAAATGATATTCACTAAAATAAAAGATTGCTTGAGTTGAATAACCAACGCTTTTTTGTGTTTTTCATAATTTCATGGATTCCATTAGAACACAACGGACTAGTTATATTTCTCTACGCCAATTCAGTAGACTGTGTTTTTTTCTCACCATTTTTAAACGAGAGAAAACCGTTCACTGACGAAATGACGTTGTTTTCAGACATGCGATAAATACCTCGTCGATGAAGAGTGTTTCTGGCAGTGTGATCCAAATCTAATCAAATGGCACGCTGGTAAGGGTACGATTAAAAGGGTTCCTATTTGCAGTAGATACTGTGACGACTGGTTTGATGCTTGCAAGAATGACCTTACTTGTGTCAGCGACTGGGTTAGCGACTTCAACTTTACTGCTAATTCTTAAGGCTGATTTACACGGTACGATTTGTCGCGCGCGACTTGTAGTATACGACTTCAATCGCGCAATATAAATGCCCCTACGACTTGTCTACAACAGKCGTACGCAACCTACGACTTGTAGTAGGATTTTGAACCACTGCTTAAAATCCTACGACTTGTAGTATGAAAATCGTATACTACAAGTCGTACGCGACAATCGTACCGTGTAAATCAGCCTTTACACCTGTCCAAGGAACTCGAAATGTCTCACCTATTCCGAGGTAATAAATACAGTCTGCCTCGCGGTGTTTTTAATTGATGCCAACCACCACCCCCTCAAGTCAATTTTGGCTCCGCCGTCTCTAATGGGGGTCGTCATTCAAGTACGAGAAGACCGGCAACAGCACGTTGGTGGATTTCACACGGGTAAATCCTAACGACAAGGTTGTCAAAGTGGTTAACTCTACGGCATTGTGACCAGCTTTGCCTATATGTTCTTAGGCCATTTCTTCCTTTCTGTTAATATACGCTATAGGAAATAATTTAGACCAAACAAGGACATAGATAAAGTTTATATAGTATATTTTTGATCTTGAACATATTTTGAATACAGTAACCACCATCTCCTCAGTTAATGGCCCCGATTTATCTTTACTTATAATAAGTAATTTTACATGTACTAAGTATATGCTTTGTAAATTGAAAAAGACGAGTCAAAAGCGGTTGCCCGAGTTACAGTCAAGGACTGTGACTGGACCGCAGTTCTATTGAGGACTGGCTGTATGAGGTCTGGTTTACTGCTAGTTTATATGTTTGTTCGAGGATTTCAAAATAGTTCCTTGTAAGACACTAGGCAAGATGTTACTAATGGCGATGATTGGTGGAGCGCGTTTTCTGCAGGACCCCACCCCAAGGCAAACGTCAAAAAAAAAAAATCACTTAAGACGTTCAATGATGAATTAACTTGACATTACATCTATTGAGAGAATATACCCGGACTACAATATTTTAGAGAAATAAGGATAACCCAGGAAACGTGTTAAACTAGTTTAATCGAACTGAACACGTAGACCAAATGAAAGATGTTCTCACTTTCCGTCACAGCGCGAAAACGGTGGCTCAGAAATACATGATTTTTCCAGTACATGTTTCGATGTAGTTACTGATTATATTTTGTCAGTCTTGTCACTCTGCCATCGGGTTTGTCAAATTACAAGAAAAATGATGAGGGGAGAGGTGTTAGGGTTGTTTTGTTTTTTTGCTYCCAAAAGCGGAAATGTTTTTTCCTTAAGCTGGCAAGTATATCTTATTAATGATGGCAAAAAAGAAATGTTTTGATGATGCAATATATCAGAACCTAAATTCTATAACTTGATCTTTTTAATTATATAATGCAACTCCGTAAAAGATTGCAACAGAGATGAGATTTCTTCTTTCCCCGCCAGAGAGAAAAGTGATCATGCACCCCCTCCCTCCACAGTATTCTTTCGTGTCTCAGTAGAGGTCAATGACGTAAGCCGAGGAACTGTTAAGGTACAGTTAAATGAGCTCACCAAGAACAACAAAGATTTTCCCAGAGGATGAACTCATTTTCGAAATCTCAGAGGATCAAACAGAGACAGACATTCCAATACAATATATTTGAGAAGCAAAGAAATATTACCCAGGGAACCCATGTTCTAACGAATTGGCAACCATTCAAAAACACTGAAGGCAGTTTGCGTGTTACTCATTAGCAAGTCAGTCATAGATTTAGTCTACAATTGAGTCTACGACGGTTATTTTCACCACACGGAAAAACGATGGCTATGCAAATCATGACTATTGCGATACTTTTGGCCGTTTTTCTTAGTCTGCAATTAGCACACATCGATTCACTGGATACTGAGGTTTGTATTCAAGGCACATACCACAAGAAAACACCGTCCAAAGAGACTGCAGATTTCAAAGCGTGTCACGCATGGAAAGACAAGTCATGCTGCACAGCTAATCTCACTGTTGAAATCTCGCGACATCGGGTGAAAAATCTGTGGAACTTCCATTGGGACCATTGCTCAAATCTTAGTCAGGTAATTCTATACTTTGTAGTATGTATGGGTCGATATAATATAACAGGTATAANTTACTGCTAATTCTTATATCTGTCCAAGAGACTCCAAGTGCCTCACCTACGCAGAGGTAAGACAAGTCGTTGACGACGACGGGGTGAACATTTTTTAATAAAACGAACTTGGAAAGACCACTTTAAAACTCCAAAGATGTTATATAAATTATATGTGTTTTGGCTGTTTGACGAACTAAAATCTTATAATGGCGAGGATTTTGGGCGGGCAATAAGAATGACTTTTTCAAAACTACTTTTTTCCTAACACAGCGCTACAAGAACGGTGAAGGGTTATGCAACAAGATGTGGGGGTCGTCATTCAAGTACGAGAAGACCAGCAACTGCATGCTGATGGACTTCAAAGGTGCAAATCCTAACGACAAGGTTGTCAAAGTGGTCAACTCTGGCTGCACTGTGACCAGCCTTGCCATATATGTCCTTGTAGGCCAGTTCTTCATCTTTTTTCTTKTTTGATAAACGCCATTTAAGATTGGAAATGATTTCTTAATTTGTTGAAGTCTTTTTGGAATTGCATGTTTTTGCTCAATTCTTTTATATTTAGCCTGCATTTATTTAGGAAACAAGTAAAGAAGAAATCGCGAAAAACAAAAAAAAATCACGCGAAAAGTGTATTTTCTTAAACTAGTAGCCCGCTATAGCTATAGCAAAAATATGCTTAACAATGTTACTTTGTTTATTTGAATATCCTAACAGATTATCGATTCATCTGGTATCGATCGCTTTCCTCTTTTAAAAATCATAATTGTCTTGAACTATTTTCAAGTAAATTTTGTCAGTTCCTAATGAATTGCTTTCAAATTTTAATTCTATACATAACGACTGATTCCTTATGACGTGGGGAGAGTTTTTTTTTTTTTTGCTCCCTAAAGCGAAACAATGTTTTCTTTCAAGCTGGCAAGTATATCTCATTGTGTGATGATGGMCAAAAAGAAATGATGGAAACAGATTAGACCCTAAATTATATAACCCTATTCAGTTGTAGGCTAATTTTTGCAATCTGTGAATGAAGGGGAGGATCATGAGCATGAAATTTTCACACAATGATCACCTACGTAAAACTAGCCTGCGTAACGGCCCTCTTGGGTCCTCTTGGGATCCCTGTGGACCAGGAAGAGGGCTTGCCGTCACAATGGGAAATACTCCAGTTTCGAATTCATAGCGCAAAACCACGGCTTTATTTGACAACAGATTCTCTTGCGCAAAGACCTTACAAACACAAAAGAGAGCACGAGAAAATGTCGTTATTACAATCAATTTGAAAATTTGCATTTTACCGAGTTGAGACTCACAACTAACACCAAAGATCTTCCCAGAGAGAGATGCGAACTCATGGTTCGAAATCTCAGAGGATCGCATATCAAAGAAAGATATATTCAGAGACAATACAATATATTTGAGAAGCAATAAGAAATATTACCCAGGATACCCATGTTCTAACGAATTGGCAACCATTCAAAACAAACAGGATCGAGTTTGCGTGATACTCATTAGCATAGTCTACAATTGAGTCTACGACGGTTATTTTCACCATASGAGTACGATGGCTATGCAAAGCTTGACTGTTGCGATACTTTTGGCCGTTTTTCTTAGTCTACAATTAGCACACATCGATTCACTGGATACTGAGGTYTGTATKCMAGGCAAATACCACAAGAAAACACCATCCAAAGAGACTGCAGATTTCAAAGCGTGTCACGCATGGAAAGACAAGTCATGCTGCACAGCTAATYTCACTGTTGAAATCTCGCGACATCGGGTGAAAAATCTGTGGAACTTCCATTGGGACCATTGCTCAAAYCTGAGCCAGGTAATTCTATATTTTGCAGTGTGTAGGGTTCGGTATAATATAAAGATCCAGTTTCCTGGATAGGATCAAACAGATCCCCATGTTGCACTATGCGTCTTTGAACATRTGGTATTTCAATATTTTGGTTGAACTAAAATTCGTTTCCGAATGTGCTTTAATAGTTATAAAAGTGGGATCTGTCTACCATATGAAAGTATAGGAATGCTTTTCCACCTATWTTCACTGTATATTTAAAGACTTTGAGTTAAATAAACATGAAAGGTTTTCCCAAGGCGTGCAAGACATGTAGTTTTATTGCGTCATGTGAGCTCACTAGTTTTTAACAGAGCAATTTCAGTTGTGGCTGTTGCTCGAAACCGAAGGAAATTTGCGTATTGGCACCAGTTCATTTCAAATTTAGATAGAATATACGCTGTTTTGCAAAAATGTTGAGACACTGCAAAGCTTTCTCTTGTGATTCTTATTCTTATTCTTGTCATAAGCGTCATGCAGTCTCAGTTTCCGTGGGATGTCAACTAAACCAATCCGTGCTTTACTTTCATTTTTGACATGTATTGTTTTTTACATCACTGAGTCGGCCTGATGGCCTGATCGCGATATCTGGCTTCACTTTATAGCATATAGCTACTGTCACCTGGTTTGTGACCAAGAAAAGCAAGCTGATCAAGATGGCAACACAACTCGAAGATTGATTGTGTAGACGAATACAGAACGATACGATAAATCGAATTATATCTAATTACTTAACATAAACGATTTATGAATATAGTTTTTTTTCGTTAAAATTTTATCAATTTAACTTCGGTTCTGAATAAACACGGGCGATCGCCGGCGATCGAGATAATCCCAGTCTAGCCAAAACTATGTAAAATCACCGCAAGTGTCAAAAAGTATCAATCCCTATTAAAAAAAGGAAACCCAACTTCGCTCAACCGCAATAAACGATCGATATCTCGGGAGTTCAATTAAAGCAAACAATATAAACTTTTAAGTTTAAAAACTTCAACAAACAGCCAAATAGAATTTTTTTAAAATTTGATCATCAAAGAGTTTGTAATCTTAAACGTATCAATGATTCAAAAGGTCAATAGACGAAACATTTTTCATTGAAAGTCTTGGTTTTAGTGTGTCAAACGAGAATATTCTTTAAAAAACAAGTTCACATGTACCATGAAATAGTCAAATAGTATCCGATTTAAGAAGGCAAATTAAAGGGACAATTTCTTAAAACATCTGAGTCTGTCGGAGAGAGAAATTTGAAATTGGTAGTACACTGACGAAATTATGTTCTCTTTAGGCATGCGATAAATACCTCGTCGATGAAGAGTGTTTCTTTCAGTGTGATCCAAATCTAATCAAATGGCACATTGGTAAGGCTGCGATTAAAAGGGTTCCTATTTGCAGTAGATACTGTGATGATTGGTTCGATGCTTGCAAGAATGACCTGACTTGTGTCAGCGACTGGCTTAGCGACTTCAACTTTACTGCTAATTCTTATATCTGTCCAAGAGACTCCAAGTGCCTCACCTACGCAGAGGTAAGACAAGTCGTTGTCGACGACGGGGTGAACATTTTTTAATAAAACGAACTTTGAAAACCATGTTNAACAAGATGTGGGGGTCGTCATTCAAGTACGAGAAGACCAGCAACTGCATGCTGATGGACTTCAAAGGTGCAAATCCTAACGACAAGGTTGTCAAAGTGGTCAACTCTGGCCGCACTGTGACCAGCCTTGCCATATATGTCCTAGTAGGCCAGTTCTTCATCTTTTTTCTTKTTTGATATACTCCATTTAGGATTGGAATTACATGATTTTGTTCAATTCTTTTATATTTACCCGAAATAGCTATGTTAGATAATTCCACACGCCAGTTCTCATGAAAGTGCACCATAAGCAAAAATAAGCTTAACAATTTTTTTATTTGAATATCCTAGCAGATTATCAATTCATCTGATATTCGCTATCCTATTAAAATCATAATTGTCTTGAACTATTTACAACTAAATTTTGTCAGTTCTATATGAATTATTGTATTTAATTCTATACATTACGACTGATTCCTTGGTTATTTTAGAACTTCAGTTCTTATTTTTCATGTACTCCTATATATTGAATTAAAATTGGTCCCTAGGTATGTTACTACTGTTCGCTTTCCTCTAATACTGCTTGCTTGATTGTTGTCAAATTCAAAGATAATTGTATTCATAAAAAATAACATTTACAGCAATAAAAATATTTGCTCATTAACAAACATCTTTTTTCAACGGCTGATTTTCTTGCCATTTTCTGCAACTTTTGGAAAATAGTGTTCAGGATTAGACAGCAGAAAACGATTCACGGAATTCATGGATCCAACGCATATTCTTGTATTACAAAGAATCCAATTCACGCAGTAATTCGAATGCTTGCTAGTGTCGCTGTAGAAACGGGAGGTCAGGAGCAACTGATTCATCCTTATTCAATAACTGCCCTTCTTTCCATTGCTAMAAGAAAACAAMGAAAACAAAAGCAATAAATACGCAAATACCCRACAGAGCCTCAACAAGGTTTAAGAAAAACCCAATAAYACCTGTATTTCTGTAGTTTCAGTRCTKCCCCATCTAGTCCTTCGTTGACCTTCTCCGACTTTCCTGTTATCCCTCCATTTCCCTTCAAACACGATGTTGCCTTTGAGGGTTTCAACGCCTTTACCATGTCGCTTAAAATGAGAGTACATCATTTATTAGAAAAATTCGCGCCATTAATTCATTTCTCGAGGATAAAAAAATATTCAATAAAGTCATACCACATTGGCTTTGAAGTCTCCCTCATATGTACCGCCAACCCATCTTTCTACACCTCTTCCTTCTTTACGACCATGAACCCAGTCACCTGAAGCAGTAAATATAGAGTCGTTTTCTTCAAATGAATATTTCTCTAATATTATATCCTTATAAAAGCTATCGAGTGTCATTCAGTCTCCTCTCGCAGCCGTTAGGGGAGTGACCTGGGAACGAACGTCCTTACGGCTGCGAGAGGAGACTAAGTGTCATTGTGATAAAGTCATTTGCTGAAGAGTTGCTTACCGACGTAGGAATAATTGGCGGCTTGATCGAAATAAACACCCTCTGATCCATGAGGCTTTGAAAACGAAAAATATATAACGATTACGCTTACAACCGAAAATAAAATATAAATCATATACACCGTAAAGATGCAACACTTGTGACGTTTGGGAAGGAGTGCGAGTTACTATGATGAGTACGAGTTAATGTAATGGGTACGAGTTACTCAAAGAGTGTGACTTCCTTCAACGAATTTCAAACATCCGAGATGCCAGTACGTTTTTTGTCTTTCGCGGTATTTAAAACAGGGTCAGACCTTCAGTATATGGCAGCCACAGTGGAAGAAGATTATGGACCCTCCCTGATCTGTACTCACACTATCTAGGTCCCAGCTCCCTTCGTATGTTGCTCCGTTAGGATAAGTCATTTTCCCTCGTCCGTGACGTAAATTATGGAACCAGCTTCCTGGAACACGAAAAATTGGCGCACAAATTAAAAAAAAAAAAGAAAGAAAAAAAAAAAGAAAAAAGAAAAAAAAAGAAAAAAGAAAAAAGAAAAAAAAAAAACACATTTCCATACCATCGTAAATTCCTGAATCAGCATAAATCATCTGCCCCTGCCCCTCTCGCTAAAATAGAAAAACTCATTTACGATATTTTCAGTTCTAACATCGCCTGCGTTATCGGTGGTCTACAGTTTTGCTTGCGATGGCGAAACCGCAGGTGTAATCGAGATGTAATCAATGCGAGGCATAGTTGAAGTTTTCAAATTGATAGTGTACGCTTACCTGATCGTTCTTCCACTCGCCTTCATATTTAGACCCATCGTTATAGTCCATGACACCAAACTTATGCCTCAGATTGTACTCAAAGTGCCCCTCATATATGCCTTCATGAGATTTGAATAGACCCTTACCGAAGCGCTGAAGACAAACATGATCATGTTAAAAATACCAAACGAAACTTAGTTTGCGTTAAATTCTRCAGCTCTGACGCGTGCATACGGCAAGAGCATGGTAAGTAGTCTATCTCTCCCAAAAATACATTCAAATACAATTGTGATTGGCATTGTGATTGTGATCTTAATTATTATCAAATGGTATTAAACACTTTAAGTTGCTTTGAAGATCGCTACCTTTGCTCGAGAATTYAGAGCATGCGCTATGACAACGCTGCGTGCGCATATGTTACTGGAGAGGAATAACACAAAAGTGAGGAGACTGGCCTGCCTGTGAATTCAACAGGCAGCCCAGGCTAGTGTTTCCTGTGACAATCCTTACCATATCTCGAAACCACGAGCCTTCGTAYACTTCACCATTGCCGTAAACCATTTTGCCTCTGCCTTGGATGTGATCAGAGCTCCATTCTCCTTCGTAATGAGCACCTTTAGGGATCGAATACGAACCAATACCGTGACGCTATAAACATTAAAAACATGCATTTAAAAAGAGTTTATATAATAGGATTTTTTTACATTACGAACAATATTGTACAAGAGTACAATATGATTTTTTGTTTCTTCACTTTTTAAAGTCACCTGGTTGTTTTCCCACTGACCATCGTATGTTGCTTTAGTTTTGGAGTAAATCATTTTCCCTTGACCATGGATGCGATCGTTTTGAAATTCCCCTCTAGGTAAACARATAAATAAACAAACAAAAAGTAGGCAAACAATTCAAAACAAAGAACTAAGAAGGATRAACCGTTTATCCAAATGATTTACTTTGGTATAATTGTAAGCCTAAAAACACTTCATTAATGGATCGGTCACAGCACTGGAAAAAAATCGCGCTCCTTGAAGGTTGTAAATTTACTGGAAATACGATGTAAATCAAATTTGCAAACATTGGGGGTTTGCAGATGACTATAATTGAAAGACAGGTTGAAATAGAAAAATTGCTGTAGAAGCCCGCTGTGCATTATCGATTACTTACTCGTACGTGTCGCCGTTGGGTTGGATGAGCTTTCCTTTGCCATGTTTCTAAAAGACAGTCAAAAATCAAACAAAAATGAACAAAAAATGGCCTCCTTCGTCCCAAAAGAATAAATTTAACAGAAGGATTCGTACTATATTTTAATTACAAAATTCTATGAGTTTCTAATTGCTTCACTATTAAAAATGGTTTCAGAACTATCATTTAATCTCTCTCGAGGTCTCTGGACTTTTCCAGCGGCGATTTTTAAAATTATCAAGGACTTGTCAATGATTACGAGGTGAAGCAGGAACGCAGGAACAGCTAAAAATGGTTGCATTGATAATTCTTTACCTTGCTATGTTTCCAAGTCCCTTCGTACAGCATGTTATTCATACACTCAAGCTTTGCCCAGCCACAAACTTCATTATCGACAAAATCACCGTCGACTTTGTCGTTGTTGCTGAACGTGATTGAGCCCTGGATGCATTAAAAGACAAAATGATGTAAATGAGCARYAAAAACAATCAAAGAAAAACTAAAAAGAACAAATATAATTTGTTTTACCTTTCCATGCATTTTGGCTTCTCTCCACTCACCGAAATACACATCACCATTAGGGTAAGTCAACGTCCCAACACCATCTACAATACATAGACAATTAGACGCTCTTAGAGCGTGAAGTCGGGCYAGCCCGACTWATTAAAAACATCATTACACTATTAAAAATATATYCACCATGAAGCATGGCAACAAACTTGTCTTATTGTATTAACTATTCTTCTATACACGTTTCTTACATTAAAGGAATCAATTCAAAACACGTACGTTGTTTATCGTCCAACCATTCGCCGTTGTACTTCTCCCCAGTGTTGTAAGTTAATTCTCCAATACCATTTCTTTCACCGTCTTCAAAGTTACCAACGTAACGCGTTCTGTTTGGCCAGGCAAGTACTCCTTGACCGTGAGGCTGTTGTAGACAAAATAGGACTTGTGATTATGATTATGAAAATGGCTATGATTATGATTTCGACGATGATAATGATGACGTTGATGACAATGATGGCGGTCTGTAATGTTTGGTTTTTATCGGTGACAACTTTAGTCCTGTCATCTACCTTTGARTCGACGAACCATCCGCAGTAGATACGACCGTCTYTGAATGTAAAAGCAGCTTTCCGACTAGCTAAATAGAATAATAGAATGGGATGAAACGGAATGGAATGGGATTTAAAGAATATGATACAATGAATTAAAAGAGCAAAAAATTGCAGTAGGGAAACTTAAATGCAGTCAAAAATATCTTACATATTTCACTACTATCCGTGGCTTCTTCGCCAAGAAGTTGAATAGCGATGGAAGTYTTCAGTTTCTGAAGCCAAAGTTTCTTCTCATTTCGCGATCCAGAATACATTGTGTAAGATCGTTCCGGAGTGTACAACTCTAGTGCGTCTTCTTTGCCTAATTATCAAATAGAAAAGGATCAGTTGCTTTGTATCAGATTCAGCAGGGCTAGCCATTTTTAGCAAAGAAAAAACAATTTTTTTTCCAATACTTACTAGTTTGTGGATCATTGTCATCCAAGTCACACACCCAAAGCGTCTTCAGTTCTAGAGTCAACTCGACTTCACTATGCTTATTGACGTTTCTTGACGCAAACACTATCATGTCGTTGAACAGAAGACACTAAAAAATTGAAAGAACAAGCATTYAAATGAGAGCATGCGCGGTMGTAAAAATACGCATGCTCCTYGGTGAYTACTGATCCCACATGGTTTAGTGCCTAAATAAGTGCTTCTGGGAATGAATGAATGGTTTCGGGGATGGATAATTAATTGATGAATTTTTACGATTGAATGAGATGATCAAAGTACAATATAACGTATGAATAAATGAATAAAGCAAATTTAAGTTTACCAATGAATAAATGAATCAAAATTAAAATCAAAATCAAAAATTACATACTTTATACGTCTTCTTGGTGCTCATTAAAAACACTTCTCCTTCCTTGATTAGCGATCGACCTGGCGTCTCGAAAGCCTACGAAAACATCCAATGCAAATTGTTACGTCAGTATATATCGTTAATCGGAGAGTAGTCGGTCTAAGTTCGTGCTCTCGGTATAGCTTCGAGTATAGTTCGGTATGACAATTTTTGTTCCTTTTGGACGAGTGAAGAGTTCCACTGATTTACACGTTGCAAATGTAGCAATAATTTACACAATTAACAGATATCGATGATTTTATAAATGCGCAACTTTCTTTACAGTAAGAAATCGCGGGACGTTTTGAGAATTGCAATCATAGACAAATTTTGGAGTATCAATGTTGCAGAACCTTTATTCCAATGACTCTTGACCTAAGTTCTGTCATGGCTCTTTGGCCCTGCACGGCTTGTAACTGGTTGTTGATATATTCAGCAATGTTGTTCTAGTGAAAAGAAACGAAGGAGAGGTGATTGCTGAAAACAACAACAACAACAACAACAACAACAAAAAGAAACAAACAAAGACAAACAAGAAAATTCACCATACAAAAACCTAAACCAACTAAACAGATAAACAAGGAAGAACGTAGAACAACGAACAGTTCAACAAAGAGTAAATCACGAAAAATCGACCAACCATTTTCTGGAGCCCCTCTTTGACCGTCTTGGAATCAACGTGATCAGATGAAGTGCACTTATCAAGGTCCTATAGCAATACAACAGAGAGTCTAGTTAAAACAAAAGCCCTCATTTTCCCCTTTCTTTCACAAGTTCTTTCTTTCTTCCTTTCCCTGGAATAAAAGTCGATAAAATAATAATTTGAAAGATTACCCGTAGWAGAAGCAAATASCGAGGAATTCTCTGCACCACGGTAATGAGGTACGCTTGCAGAGTCAAACCAGGCTGGCAGACTGGGTGATTGTAACACGCCTTGAAAATAGAAATAAGAAAAGAGAAATAAATTCAGCTACTAATTGTAGCTTGAAAAAAGACGTTACGACGGGAAGCTTCATAAGAATAATTTCATGACACTTACATTCAAAAACACTTCAAACTCTTTCTTCCTCTTGATTTTCTGTTTGATCAGTGTCTCGGCAGCATCGTAGTTTGTACAATAAGCCGCGTAGATCTTGAACCTTGACGCCTACCAAAGTAAATAAAAACCGATAGAGCGGATTTCGTATGAGTGGGACACCGTTACCGCACGGTTACCGCACAGTTACCGGACCTGGCCTGCACAATTTTGGTAAACCAATGGGGCACTAGAATTTGGTCACAGTACGATTACGGTCACAGTACAGTACCGTCCGTTTCCCACTCATACGAAATCCGCTCTATCATTAACAATGACAATGAATAGTGACAACAAAACAAAAACGACAACATTAAGAAAGACACAATATACATGTTTATCAACACCAACCATTTCCACAAAGATRTCGCCAATCATTTGGTCATCTTTCCAATGTGTGATTCGCTCACACAAAGAAAACAGAACGTCTTTGTTTAAGTTGTAAATCCTAAAAAAATACACGGAATTAATGGAAACTAGAACAACAGGAATTAGGAAAAATGTGATAGAAGGAAGGAAGGGAGAACGGGAAAAAACTATGTTAATTTTGAGAAAAACCGGGAATAATTACGTAAAAAATATCTATCCACGTCGAGGCCTAATTAGCCTGACATGCATTTTTCAGGATTGATTTATGAATGAACGAATAGAAGGAATGGTTCATAAAAAAAAAGAAGGAATGGTTCATAAAAGATAAAGAGGTTACGAAAAAACGAAATATAATCCGTATATTTACTCCTTGATATTTGAAAACATCGTCTCCATCTCTTTGCTATCGAGGTATTCCTCAAGTCGATTTCTGAAAAGCTACACAAGAGATAAACAAAAATGAATGTAAACGCAAGAAAAGACAGACAAAAAAATACAATAATAGTATTTTCTGCAATCCTTATGACGTTACGTTAGTTTTCGCGAAATGCATCATGGTATTGAGAATCAAGATGAGGAAGTCATTCTATGTGTTACCTCKATAACCGTCTCCAGTCCTCTAACGTACGTGCGTTCGGTGGTGTACAATTCCAGAGCAATCTGTGCTCTCTTGTGAGTYGGAAAATTAGGAATTGAAGCTGGCAACGCATCTGTTACTAAGGTCATGGGATCATCATGCTGCAAATGGTATCATACSARTAAAATAATGGATAAAAGCAGTTCGTATTCTTTAATGTGCCTGTGATATAGCTGGTATCATTCATCAGTCTGTTTGAATAGCTTCCACATGTAATTATTTAGAATTACTTGAGAGAAAAGAAAGGTTTCATTTGAGCTTGCAAAGCAATAGGTGACTGGTTAAGGTCTATTTCAGTCTATTGCAAGATGAATCAACAATAGTGAAGCACTCCGCTTCGCCTCATATTATGATAAATGGCCATAATCATAGAAGATAGYATTACTGGTACAGAGCATAAAATATCGACAGAGAACCAGAAACTTACAGATAAATCAAGCGATGTTGACTTTGCAACGCTGCGACGAACTTTTAACCAATCAGCGTCTGATAAYGTTTGCCTGAATGACTTGTCTGGACGATTCTTGTTATTCTTGGGACGCTTGACTGGCTTCTCACGAGCTGTTTGATTTAAAGGCAACAACTTAGCARAAATCCTTGTCCAAAAATATAAGCTTTTTTAGGAAACATGTACATTATATAAGCTTATATACGGTATCAGGACTTGATTGTTTAGAAAATCCGTTTAAATATCTATACATGGTTTTCGTATGCATTTTACCATACATATGAATATGAATTAGTATATTTTCAACTCAATGCACCACAAATATATTGCGAGGATTAA